AAAAAAAAAAAAAAAAATTAGCTGGACATGGTGGTGCGTGCCTGAAGTTCTAGCTACTTGGAAGGCTGAGGCGGAAGGATCACCTGAACCCTGCAGGTTTAGGCTATGGTGGCAGTGAGTTTGCCATTGTACTCCAGCCTGGGTGACAGAGTGAGACTCCAAGTCAAAAAAAATAAAAGTAAAAAAGATACAAATCATCTCTCTCTCTACCTCTCCCCTTCTTCCAGTTTAACCAATACAGCATCCTGTTCTGAGCAGGCCAAGTCTAGTACCTCCTTTGGAAGCTTTGATTCACCTACCCCCATTTTCAAAGAATCCTGGGGGCTTACTCAAGCTAAGAAAGGGGGCATCCTCACTTCCAGGAGTCAAGAACAGAGACAGTTATCAAGTCTCTGCTCACATTGTGTGGCTGGAGTTGTGTCTCCGCACGTGGTATTGCTGTTAAAGCCTGGTCCAGCATGGTCTCATGGACATACATCTCCCTGAAGTGGCTGTTTGCTGGTCCAGGTCCTACTTCAGCCCAAGTGATGCCCCACATTTAGATTTCATGGTTATGTCTCTCAGTTCACACTCCCATGCTGGGTTACTGTTGCCTGAAATATTTGTCCAGTGTGGCTGGGTGTGAGGGCTTTGATTCACATCACTTGCTGTGCTAAAACCAATCCTCTTCAGCCAAACACATGATGAGGCTTGGTCAACAGTCTAGATGAACTCCCTTACAAACTTTCCTGCCTATTGGCCCGTAGCCCACTCTACCAAGTTTCTCTAACTTCAGATCTTGGAGAGCAGAGACTATGACTTTCTTCCTTTTTGTTCTAAAAGATCCCTGTGATGATCATTTTGATGATGATGATCATCAGCAGCATCATGTATTAGTCATGTGTTTTGCATTAACTTCCCATAACTGCCACACAAATTACCACATCACAGGCTTATAACAGCAGAAGTTTATTCTCTCACAGTTCTGGAGACCAGAAGTCCAAAATCAAGGTGTCATTGAGGCCACACTGCTACCACAAACTCTAGGGAGTGTCCTTCTTGCCTCTTCCAGCTTCTGGTGATTACAGGCAGACTCTTTGGCTCGTGGCTCATGATTCTAATATTCACTTCTGCCTTCACTTGGTTTTTTTCTTTGTATCCTGTGTCTCCTCCTCCTCCTCCCCCTATTTCTCTTTTTCTCGTTCTCCTCCTTCTTTTTGACACAGGTCTCACTCTTGTTACCCAGGCTGGAGTGCAATGGCATGATCATAGCTCACTGCAGCCTCCGGCTCCTAGGCTCAAGCCATCCTCCCACCTTAGTCTCCCGAGTAGCTGGGATTACAGGCACACATCACCATGCCCAGCTAATTTTTAAATTTGTTTTAGAGACAGGGTCTTTCTGTGTGGTTCAGGCTGGTCTTGAACTTATGGTCTCAAAATTCCTCCTGCCTCTGCTCCTAAAGTACTGGATTACAGGCGTGAACCATCATGCCCAACCTCTTGTATTTTTTTTTTTTTTGACTTGGAGTCTCACTTTGTTACCCAGGCTAGAGTGCAGTGGCATACTCATGGCCACCCCAGCGTTGACCTGCTGGGCTCAGGGCATCTATCTGCCTTGGCCTTCCAAATAGCTGGAACTACAGGTGTGCGCTACCATGCCCGGCTAATTTTTTCTTTTTTCCGTTTTTTTTTTTTTTTTTGAGTTGGAGTCTCACTGTCGCCCAGTCTGGAGGGCAGTGGCCACTCCCAGCCACCGCAGCCTCGACCTGCTGGGCTCTGGTGATCCTTCCGCCTCAGCCTTCCAAGTAGCTGGAACTACAGGTGCACACTATCACGCCTGGCTAGTTTTTTTGATTTATTGTAGAGATGAGGGCTCACCTGCCCAGGTGGGTCTCAAACCCACAGACTCAGGCAATCCACTCACCTCAGCCTCCCAAAGGCGTGGGATTACAGGCTGAGCCACCAAGCCCAGCTAATTTTTTGATTTATTGTAGAGACAAGGTCTCACCAAGTTGCCCAGGCTGGACTCGAACCCCTGGGTTCAGGCAATTCACTTGCCTTGGCCTCCCAAAGGGATTACAGGCTGAGCCACCGCACCCAGCTCTTATATTTTTTATAAGAACATTTGGCTCAACTAGATAATCCAGGATGAGTTTACCTTGAGATTATTATCATCATCATCATCATCATCATTATTATTATTATTATTTTAAGTCAGAGTCTCTTTCTGTCTCCCAGCCTGGGAGGGCAGTGGCATGACTTACCGCGGCCTCAACATTCTGGACTTAGGCAATCCTTCCACCTCAGCCTCCCAAATAGCTGGAACTACAGGCACATGCCACCAGGCCTGGCTAATTTCATTATTTTTGTAGAGACAAGGTCTCGCTATGCTGCCTAGGTTGGTCTCAAACTCCTGGACTTAAACAATCCTCTCATCTTGGCCTCCCAAAGTGCTAGGATTACAGGTGTGAGCCACTGCCAGAGAGAGTCTTAATTACATCTGCAAAGACCCTTTTCCCAAATAAGGTTACATTCATAGGGCCTTGGAGCTGAGACATAAAGATATCTTTTTTAGGGTCCCATTCAGCTCCCTGCATGTTATTTTATAGATGAAGAAATTTGGGCTGAGAGAGATTAGAGGATTTACCCAAGGCCAGTTATGTCTTCTTTACCACAGAGCTCTGCCCACTTGAGAACAGCAGGAGATTTTACAAAACCTCACACACTAAAAAAGTATTGTTAGAGTCTTCTCATAGGATAATTGGTTACTGCTGACCTTACATTTATTTAACTGAAGAAGTCATCCAAGTCTGCCATCTCTAGGTGAGCTTCAAGTTTTAGATGGGTCTTACCAAGCATAATGATAGTGTACTACATCATAAAATTGTGGCCCATTGCCATTGCTTTGCTAGACTCTGGTGTGGCCACGTGCTTTTTGAGCTATAGCTGTCGCTATGCTTCCTAGCTTTGGCCCACTTCCTGGCCTTGGGGAGGTGAATCTTCTCTTTCTCTCTCTCGCTCTAATTTACTTTTAAATAAACTATGTTTTCTAATCTAAAAAATAGAAAAATTGTGGCCCACTGTGCCATTCTAAGGACATTAGACTCTGAAGAAATGAAAGCCAGCTGGGCTTGGTGGCTCAGCCTGTAATCCCGCAGCTTTGGGAGGCTGAGGTGAGTGGATTGCCTGAGCCCGCGGGTTCGAGACCTGCCTGGGCAGCGAGACCTCATCTCTACAATAAATCAAAAAATTAGCCGGGCGTGGTAGCGTGCGCCTGTAATTCCGCTACTCGGAAGGCTGAGGCGGAAGGATTGCGGAACCCAGCATGTCGAGGTTGTGGTGGCCGGGAGTGGCCACTGCACTCCAGTCTGGGCGACCGAATGAGACTCCAACTCAAAAAAAAAAAAAAAAAAAAAAAAAGAGATGAAAGCCATGGCCCTAGTCTAGCCAATAAGTGCAACCTGTCTCTGTCCCACTTTTGTAATTATTTCTCTGAATAGGAATAGTGCAAACTGACTTGTATTTCACTCCTTTTATTATTCTCAACTCACTCTCATGTGCCCATTGTTGAATACAAGAGCAAGAAGGCTGAGAAATAGGGAGGTAAAATGGTATAAAGTCCAGATCATGAAAGTCTGTATAAAAGATTTCAGATCTTCTGTGAGGAGGTGTCTACCAGGATTTATCATACTTCAATTCAGAGATGGTTCTGTGGTTGTGGAGCTGGCCTCATAGGGATTCTTCACCAACCTGGCACACCGAAAAATCATTACAATTAGGAATATAAAGAGAAGAACGACAAAGGCAATGGCAAAGCCTTTGTCCACATCAACACTGCTGGACAGGCTTGAGTCTTCCATGGGGACAGGCACCTCTTTACCGTTGTCCAGCTACAGCTACCTCCTCAGATATGTCTTCAGATTTGTCATATTCCTAGACAAGGAAGACAAAACAAGTTTATTGGTTTGTGTATATATGTATGTATATACAAGATCTGACAATTAGGTTCGTGAGCCATCCTAGAAAAAAATGCTACATACCTCGTTGCTGAATATCGCTTCAGTCACCTTATACTCCTTTTGGAATCTATGGAATGATGCCAGCACCTAGTCTACCTGCCAAAGCAATTTTGGAACCCTTTTTCTGGAGTGGCCATCAGAACTGTCGTCGTTATTTGTTGGAGTCTGACAATTAAGTTTGCAAACTTGACAGCACTATACAATTAACTGTATTGGAATGCCCTCCCTACTCGCCTACTCTGGCCCCCAATGACTTTTTTCTTTACCTGAAGATAAAAGAAATATTGAAAGGAAGACATTTGATGACATTCAGGACATCAAGGGAAATACAACGATGTCTCTGATGACCATTCTAGAAAAGAGTTCCAAAATTGCTTTGACAGGTGGACTAGGTGCTGGTGTTGGTGTATAGTTTCCCAAGGGGAATAATTCAAAAGTGACCGTAGTGATAATCGGCAATTAGGTATGAAGCACTTTTTCTAGGATGAGTTCGTGAACTTAATTGTTGGACCTCGTGTGTGTGTGTGTGTGTGTGTGTGTGTGTGTGTGTGTGTGTGTGTGTGTGTAATAGAGAAGATGTCTTACTATATTGCCCAGGCTGGTCTCGAATTCCTGGGCTTAAGCAATCCTGCCGCCTTGGCTTCCCAAAGTGCTGAGATTACAGGCATGACCGACTGCACTTGGCCAGTGTTTTCTTAATAACACTGTGACATCAAAAAGATACCAAGGGTTGAAAAAACCAAGATGTATTTAAGAAGCACTTGACTGCAGGACTCCAGCAGCTCTAATCTCCAGGGACCCCATCTCCCATATACCTTCATCTTTTTTTTTTTTTTTTTTTAGTTGGGATCTCATTCTGTTGCCTGTACTAGAAGGCAGTGGCCTAATCATGGCTCACTACAGCTTCAAACTCCTGGACTCAAGTGACCCTCCCTCATCACCTGAGTAGCTGGACGGCAGGCACGTACCACCATACCTGGTTCAGTCTTTTTATTTTTTGTAGAAATGAGGTCTCACTATGTTGTCCAGGCTGTTCTCCAAATCCTGGGCTCAAGTGATCCTCCCACCTCGACCTCCCAAAGTGCTGGGATTACAGGCATGAGCCACCATCCCTGCCCTCTTAAACTACCTCTATAATGGCTTACTGTCCAGGGTTCAATAGCCAATGGCCAGGAGGCTTGTTTTATAGATAGCATCTGTTGTAAAACCTAAGAATGGTGTTTGAGATGTTTTTCAGACTTTACACTTTGATAGACCTGAGATCCCAAGCAGATTTGGGACACATACCAAGGAGCTGACTCCACCAGTCCTGTGACTTGCAACCTGTGACAATTCTGTGACCACCCTCTCAGGAACTGGCTCCACACATAGACAGTTTTGATACCCCCATGGCTTCATCCCCAACCAATCAGCAGTGCCCATTCCCTAGCCCCCTTCCTGTCAAATTATTCCTTAAAAAACTCTAGCCTAAAATTCTTGCAGAGGTGGATTTGGGAAATATCTTTCATTTTCCTTGCTCAGGTATTTGCAATATTAAACTCTTTCTCTACTATAATAGCTGCTGTCAGTTTTGTTTTTTCTGGGCAGGGAGCATAAGAACTCAGTCAGCCTATAACAAGTCTTCTCTAAGATTTCTTCAAATTCATAGTACTTATACCTAATTTATTGTATAGTTTTAATACATTAGCTATGAATATAAAATGGTTTTCTTTTTTCTTTTTCTTTTTTTTTTTGAGTGGGAGTCTCACTCTGTGGCCCAGACTAGAGTGCAGTGGCCGCTCCAGCCACCACAACCTCGACCTGCTGGGCTCCGGCGATCCTTCCGCCTCAGCCTTCCAAGTAGCCAGAATTACAGGCATGCGCTACCACGCCCAGCTGATTTTTTTATTTATTGTAGAGATGAGGTCTCGCTGCCCAGGCGGGTCTCGAACCCACGGGCTCAGGCAATCCACTCACCTCAGCCTCCCAAAGGCAAGGGATTACAGGCTGAGCCACCAAGCCCGGCTTATTTTTTCTAATTACTATATTTAACTGTTCTGTCATTCTCATCTCTTTTTTTTTTTTTGAGTTGGAGTCTCACTCTGTCACTCAGACTGGAGTGCAATGGCCACTCCCGGCCACCACAGCCTCAACCTGCTGGGCGCCGGCGATCCTTCTGCCTCAGCCTTCCAAGTAGCTGGAACTACAGGCATGCCCTACCACTCCCGGCTACATTCTCATCTCTTAATGAAAAATCAGTTACAGAGCCAGGTGCAGTGACTTACGCCTGTAATCCCAGGACTTTGAGAGGCTGAGATGAGAGGATTGTCTGAACCCATGGGTTCGAGACCAGCTTGGGAAACTTGGTGAAACCTCATCTCTATAATTAATCAAAAACTTAGCTGGGTATGGTGGCGTGTGCCTGTAGTTCCAGCTACTTGGAAGGCTGAGGTGGAAGGATTGCCTGAGCCCGGTAGGATGAGGCTGCGGTGGCCGTCAGCATGCTACTACACTTCAGCCAGGGTGACAGAATGAGACTTCAACTAAAAAAAAAAGAAATATCAGTTACATACCAGAAGTAATCAATTTCAGTTGTTAAAATTTAGTCCATCAAAACAATATCAGGGCGGGCTCATAATCCCAGCCTGTAATCCCAGCACTTTGGGAAACAGGCGAGTGGATTGCCTCAGCCTGCAGGTTTGAGACCAGCCCGGTCAACTTGGCGAGACCTCGTCTCTACAACAAAAAATAAAAAATTAGCTGGGTGTGGTAGCACACACCTGTAGTTCCAGCTACTTGGAACACTGAGGCAGAAGGATCGCCAGAGCCCAGCAGGTCAACGCTGGGGTGGCATGAGTGTGCCACTGTACTCCAGCCTGGGCAACGGAGTGAGATCCCAACTCAAAAAAAATAAAATAAAAACAATTTCAAAAAGAGAAAACCAAAGTGGAAGGACTCATACCTCACAATTTCAAAATTCACTACAAAGCTACAGCAATCAAAACTGTGTTACTGGCACAAAGATAGATGTCTCAATCAATGGAATAGAGTTGAGAGTCCAGAAATAAACTCATGTATTGTCTGGGTTTAGTGACTCGCTCCTATAATCCCAACCCTTGGGAGGATGTAGGGGAAGGATTGCTTGAGCCCAGGAGTTCGAGACCAGCCTGGGCAACATAGTGAGACCTTGTCTCTACAGAAAATCAAAAAATTGGCCGGGCTTGGTGGCTCAGCCTGTAATTCCAGCACTTTGGGAGGCTGAGGTGAGTGGATTGCCTGAGCCCGCGGG